CTTATCTACTTTAGACCTGAAATATGCCTTTGCAGCCCTATAGAATTGCCTGTTTAATTGAAGAGTACATGGATACAGAAAATTCTTCATTGTCTATAAATCCTAAATTTTTAATCTGGCTGTATGAATTTAAACTGTCATTTGCTATCTTGACTAAGACCCATTGGAGAATTTTATACATGACAGGTTCATATCTCTGTATTTAAGGCTTTTACAAGTATTTGGGTTTTTTTTTACCTCATGCCTACATATTTACCACTGAAAGTTTGCTCTTCAAGTTAGTTCTTTGTTTTGTAGATAATCTATGTTTTCTGGTTTGCCCCCCTCTCCCTTTCCCTCTCAATGTTCAGATTAACAATAGAGTCTGATGAGCACGTGAATGGCAGATCTTCATTAGCAAAAAGTGTATATAAAAAGAGTACCATTTTTCCATTCTTATCACTAGGCTGATTCAGTTTGATTCCTTAATTAGTCAGAAATTGGATCTACTTTTAAACCATATAGAACTAGTGTATTTTTCCCTGTACTAAGATGCACATGACAAAGCAATGATCTGGGATTTCTAAACCTTAAGTATTTAGAGAGCATGATGCTACTCAGCATTCTGCTCTCCATGAAATAACATTTCTCTGAGTAGCAGCTGCCTTTTCCATCTTGCAATCTGCCAGGCAGTCTCCCACAGTGTTTCAGGAATTAATGAAGGCTTTGGTTTTATTTGTGCCTATTTATCTTCTGAGGAGTGAGACTCTCAGAAAGAGTATGACTGCCCTGCATTGCCTTGATGCATGTGAGGTATTAAATAGCTTATCTCATACCTCTCACAGCAAAACAGATTAGAGAAAGACCATGTAGACATTAACTACTCTCATCTAGCAGCAGTGTTCCCTAGAAACATCATACTGTTTAATTTTTTGTCTTGACACTTCTTCCCTTCTCTTAAAACACCTGATAACATCAAGCATAAAGCAGTAAGTAGTTTAAGTTTTGCTGGTGTTGGAGGACTTTTCAGACATGAATTTCAGTTTTTAGCAGATCAGAGGACAGAAAACATAAATCCTCAAACATGTACACTGAAATTCCTAATATGTTGGGATACTTTGGCAGTATATTTGGATTCCTGCTTAACTAATAGATAGCAATGTTGCATCTCTAAATTTCATCTTTCATTATAACCCTGACAGCATATGTACAAGGTAGATTTTAATACTGGCTTTAAACCATCTTTATTAATCCTCTTCAACACAGGCTTCACCAGGGTGTAGTTATAGGGATGGGTTTAAATTGGACTCACTGCAACAGATATCACCCTCTCAAGAAGGCAGTCCAATTTTTCTCAGACACCATATCCTAGTACCCACATTGCTGACCAGATGCTCTGGGATGTATGCTGGGACAGGACTGGGTAGCTACCATGCAGGATTAGGATACCAGATAAACCTGGATTGTTGTACTAATGTACAGTGTGAAGTTCATAAGTACCAGTGCAAAAGCCTGCACAGCTATGCTTATTAAAGATAATTTCATTTAATGAGAAAAATAACTGAGCTACATTGTATTGTAATGCACACCAGAGTAACGTGCTCTGGATTAAAGTCTTGGAGCAGTACACTACAGAACACCTGCAATGAGAGATTGTAAAAGTGCAGCTGTCCTGATGTAAACAAACAGAAAAATTATTGAGCTCACAGCAAATAATAGAATAAAGTTCAAAAGATTTAACTCCAGATCTCTGACACATAGGCTTTCTGATCTTTTGAGTTAATTTTTGTTTGAATCAAAACATGCCTTTTAGAACCCATTTAATTTTGTACTACAGATTTCTCATGAACCTTCCCCATCATGACTGCAGCTAAGCTGTTAAAATGGCCAGTCACATAATCTGCCAAAAGTATAAAGAGCTCATCCTATATTTTGGTGGACTGCCTTACATGCATATCTTTTATTTTGAAATGCTTTTTATCATTGCATATATGATATTCTAATGTCTCCAGCGTCCATTGAAATAGTCTTTTTCTTTTCTTCTTTGGTATTCCAAGTATATCAAGGTGTGCTGGTTTTGGCTGGGACAGTGTTTATTTTCTTCAGTGGCTGGTATGGGATGTGTTTTGGATTTGTGCTGAACACAAGGTTGATAATGTAGAGATGTTTTTGTTATTGCTGAGCAGGGCTTAAACAGACCCAAGGATTTTTCTGCTTTTCATACTGCCATTCTGGGGAGGAGACGGGGGGTGCATGGGAAGCTGGGAGGGGACACAGTCAGGGCAGGTGACCTCAACTGACCAAATGGACATTCCATGCTCTCTGACATCAGGCTTTCTATATAAAGCTCCTGGGGGAAGAGGGAATAAGGGGAAGGGCCTTTGGAGTGCTGATGTTTGTGTTCCCAAGTCATCATTATACATGATGGGGCCCTTCTCTCCTGGAGATAGCTGAACATCTGCCTGCCCATGGGAAACAGTGAATTCATTCCTTATTTTGCTTTGCTTGTGTGCATAGCTTTCCCTGTTAAATTGTCTTTATCTCAATACATGAGTTTTCCAGCTTCTACCCTTCCAGCCTCTTCCTGATCTTTCTGGTGGGGGAGTGAATGAGGGAGTGGCTGTGTGGCACATGGCTGCTGGCTGGGGTTAAACCATGGCACAAAGCTTACTGAAAGTCCATATTAAAAGTCCACAAGGCTTACTGAAAGTCAGTATTAAAAGTCCAAAAGGCCACTTTTTTTTTTTTTTTTTTTTTTTAGCTGTATTTGTTAAAAGTTATCAAAAACTGCTGATTAAAAGCATGTGACATTACTGGCTCCAGTTTAATATCCTGTTGAATTACTGTTGAAATTGAAAGTATTTTATCACAGTCATGTTCTGACATCAATTTTTGATCTTTCTCCAAGTACAGAACTATGCTGAGCATTATTTAGTACAAAAGATATACTTACATAGACCTTGCATTGTTAAATGCTACTGGATTTTTATGCAGTGCTATTGATAATTCTACTGTTACTACTTTAATAATGGATCTGTTACTATTTGTTTTTTCTTTATATGAGAAGTGAAAGAATACTTTTAATTACTTGTCACTCCATTCATTATAGTGTCCTTTGTTTCCTTCCCACATTTTACCAGTTCCTAGTTTCTAGTTCGTTATTAAATTCTTTTCCCCCCATCTGTTATTTTGGTTTTGCATTATATTTGCTATGGTTACTTTCACATTTACTCTTATCTGAGCAGAATGTTTTAACATGTGTAATCTTTTTTTTTTTTTTTCCAGTTGTAATTCTAGCAGAATATTATTAAAGCGTTCCCAACACCATCCATATTTCTTACATAAAAACTATTTCTCCAGGGGTTGTGACTACTAATTGTCTCAGGTCTGTAATACTGGACTTTCCAAGCAACATTGTGTATATGTGTATGTCTAAATACATCATTCCTTTGTTGTATAAGTTACAGAACAAAATAATTTGCTACATTTTAGTTTTGTGATCACTTCCTCTATCAGTCATGATGTGAATTAAGGCAGGCATTGTGACATGCAGATGTCACCTTTGCCTCTGAGATTCTCCCTTTCTGTCCCTTTTGGTGCGTATTTCCTCCCACGACAGTATGATTACTGTGGGAGCTGGAGAGCTTACAGTGATGGGGAGTTGTAGTGTTTGGGGCTACTTTCAGACTACATTACTTTCAATAATTCCAGTCATTTATAATGCTTCTGCTAAGGATGGAAACATGAATATGCATCAATTCCTTTATGGAATTTTATCCGGACACATTATTTTTTTTCCCAGACTCTATTCCTGACTTCTCTATGGCAGGAGCTCAGTAGTGCTTCTGCACTGCTTTGCTGCCATATACTACTTATTTTATCATAAAATAATACTTGTTTCCTACAGAATAAAAAAAGCAATACTTTCCATACGTCTTTAGGTTCTTTACATGTACTATGATCATTGTGGTACAATGATGTCAAGTTGACTTCATTGATTTTAGGTACCCTATAAAAACACTAGCATGTATTTAAGGAATTCACCTTTTCCTAATCTTCAAGTGTCACCTCCAGAGCTTAATGTAATTTTGATTTGTTACCTGTCTTCTAGAAGTTCTTAGTCTACTCCTGAAACAATGACTGATTTTACTTTAGCTCGTATTTATTCTTTCCATAAATAAAAAATAAATTCTGAGCAGCTGGACACTCATCTGTTTGAATCAGTAGAAGACATGCAGTTTTCTGCAAATGTAAGTATAAGTACTGGAGAACTCAACAGAAATTAATTAATGTTACTGGTACCTACAGTTTCATACTGACTCATGTTATTTCCAATGGTAGATTGAAAGAAAATACAATGTTTTTTAATCATACTCGATGTTCAAAAACAAATGGGAATATCTTGATGGCCTTTTTAATAAGACTTTAACCTGAAATCTTTCCTCCTCTTAATTTAGGTCAAAAGAGCTCTTTATTTTGTGCATATGTCTTTGTAACCTCATTTAATTATTCTCTGGAAGTAGCACAGTTCAGCACATATTTTCAACTGCTTACAGGAACACACTGGGGAATGTGCTTTAATATCACTTCACACTTATTAAAATACAAATTCTGCCAGAGCAAGTATATGCTGCTGCTATGAATGAATAAGTGTTAATCATAAATTGTACAAGTAAAAATTCAACCTGCTCAAGAATATTGTCTGTTTTTGTATAATAATATTTGTACCTGAATAAACATATTAAGTATATATATGTATGCATATGAAGTAATTGCATATATTGTCATAATGACTATTAATGCAGAAATGACTATACAGAGATGAAAAACAATAAATGCTGACAGCTTTTTTACTTCTAAAAAGAGTAATTTCTAATATATATTTGTAATACTTCTAATAAAATATTTCTAAAATTTTAAATATTTTTCAGAAAATCACAGCTGCCTCAAAGCACTTCTTTAAAATATGTCTCACTGTTGATAGAAATTTATGTATTTCTTTTTTTCCTGTCTCTTTTTAGATATTTTTAAATGCAGATACAATCCGCCTGGGAAATCTACCAGTGGGGTCCTTTTCATCCTCCTCCTCCTCCTTCTCCTCCGCCTCCTCCTCACCCAGCTCTTCAGCTCCTCGCCAGACTATCTATGAGCTCTGCGCCTGTCCCAATGGTAAACTTTACCTGTCCCCAGCAGGAGCAGGCTCCACATGTCAATCCAGTAGCAACATCTGCTTGTGGAGCTAGAATGACTCCGTTTTATCCTCACACCAGAATAGCCTTTTGTTACTATCCCTCTGCTTCACAGTTCAGTTGGGTTTCCCTTGTGACAAGTCCGACGCTCCAAGCAGCCTGCAGAGCAACTTCTTCTGCTGTAAGGAGGAGTACAGCGCTGCCTTCTCTTGTGGCTTGTGCTGCCACTCAACACAGAGATGGGAGAGAGATATCCAGAAAACAGTGTATTCTTCATCAGGAAACCTAGAACATAAGATCACCTTATTTTCCAAAAGGGACAATAACACAGGTGCCTTTGCTACTTGAAGTGAAGCACATAGTTTTAGATTTTTGCAGGACCTGGATATGAACTGCACATAAATATATATCTAGAGAGACAGAGAGAGAGTACATTAATTTATCCAGAATCTGATGATGAGATGAATTGATTCCCCCTGTATGATAAGTAACTTTACTGTCTGAAAGCACAATTTTCCATTCATCTTTTTGGAAGTAAACTTTTATCCCTGAATTTTAAAATTTTAAAGCATTGTGTGATGCTTGCTTTACTAAACAAGTTCAGTAAATGGTTTTTACTACAAAAAGAGACAGAATTCCTCCCTGATTTTGGTTTCTTTAAATATGTGTTGTTACTATTTGTCTACTAAGTCTAGGGTTTTGTACACTAGGTAAATTTTGGAAATGCTCGGCAATATTCCTTTAAAAGTTAAAAAGAAATGCTCTTTGTCAGATCTGAATGACCTTACATTTTCGTGGCCATTGCATGTGAAGCGATTGCTTTGAGTAGAACATACAGTTTCTGGAAAAGAAGAACAAGGTAAAGAAGGAAATTCTGATGATATGTTTGTTGATCAGTGTATTGCTCTTCACAAGGGTCTTATAATTGGCAAATACAAAGCCAAGAGAGAAATCTTCAAAGGTACATCTTGCCCATTTTCTGCAGATACATCTATCTGCTGCCACTTGAACGCAGTACAAACATTGGTAATAGTATAACGTGTGGTGCTGAGAAGCAGTGCACTAACAATTTGTATGACATTCACATTTATTATTCTCTTTTGTTTACCATCTGTTGCTGAGGTTTCAAAGTAATAGTAGTATATATAAAACCACATATTAAATGACATTCGATATTAAAAAGTAGGTCGATATTACATTACCTTTACCAGGTCTCTGTTTAAATTATGTAGCCACATTTGCACTCAGATCTCATTACTGATTCTTTTTTGACAAATTTCATGTGGGATTTCTTTCTTCATGTATCAATGTTCATACCTATTTGGCTTCATTGTTAATTGAAATCTTATAAAAAAATGCTTTGGTATGCTGCTGATAAATTTGTCACAACATTGATTAACAAGAGTATCTTGAAACTTTCAGAACCCAGGAAAGTAAAACAATATAAAAATGCTTCCTATTGTGGAAGATGGCTTGATTGTGTGAGGTAAGTGTGTTTTTAAATTCTGTTCTTTAAATTAGATCACCTAGTTTGTATTTTTAGTGGCTTCTGAATCTAAGGTCACCAATGAAATGAGAGCTTTTGCAAAGTAATTCTAAAGTCGGGGGAGATGGTGCAAGGTGGGTACTTCTACACACTTTAAAAAAAAAAAAACAAAAACAAAAACATATTTTTAGAGAAAAAGAAATGAAAATGAGCAAACTAGTATGATGATTGCCTTGGCATCTTATTACCACCTAATAAGATTGACTTTGTTTTCACTTCAGGTGAAATTCACTCCTATGCAGAAGACCAGCACAAGACGTGTCAACGGCTTGACTGGTGCTTCCCTTACCATTGGTCCTCTTCAGAGGTGTGAATTTTACCCCATAGCAAGAATTCTGTATTTGCTGTTTTAGCAGTTAAAGGAAGATTTTGAATTTATTATTTTATGTCTTCAAAAGAAGGGTGTTAACAGCTGATTTGTTGTCTATTTGAGATTTTCTTCTTTGAAGGAAATTATACTAGAAAATATTGCAAGAAAATATGTTAGAACATGAGGATTTTTCAGACAGAAAGAGGGGCAAAAAGAGTTACAGATGAGAAAGAAGGTGACCATAAAACATGAAAAAGTGTAGCCATACAATACACTCTTATAACTCTAGGGATATAGATGTCTTTTTCTTATGCACACAAGTAATAGAATGGTGGAGAGACAGTCATGAATTTCAGGAGGAAAAGTATAAAAGTATGAGGAAAAGTATGTGTATGAGGACACATCTATGTGTGTTCATTATCTGTGCACACCTGCATACACCTGTTGCTTAAAAGATGACCAAATATAGTGACTGATCTATTTGGTGAATTAAAATGGGGCTTCCTACAGATTGTATACAGGTAAGCTAAGGAGTTTTTTTTCTCCTCAAATAAACCTTCAGCATGACTTGCAGATACTTTGTCATGAATTTTCCACTGAAAAATTCCTATTTGTTTGTTGTTCATCTTCTGAGATTATTTACCTGTTATTTGTTTAAAAAAGGTCTCTTTTCACTGGATGGAAGGACCCAACCTTAATAAATTTTAGACCAACTTGGTTGGGAAGAGGCAGGTTGGAAGAAAACCCTTTTGTTGCTAGATTAATTTTAACAGCAAGACTGAAACAATTAGCCAGTTGTATGAAGAGAACTCATAAGAGATATGTGGATAGGACATTGGACTCCAAAAAACCAGCCCAGTAAGTTCACATAGCTCTGCACTGTCAGGATATTCTTTATTGGAGTCCCATCAATATGAAGTAAGCATAATTAAGAGCTTCGACAACCTATGAGATAGAATAACAAGTTCTCATAAAATCTTAATATTCTGGTAAATTTCATAATATTGATGTCTTTCTTTAAATCCATTGAAAACTGTAAGAAGGGAAGAAAAAATTTTGTATTTTAAAAAGTATTTCTAGCCCACATGATTTCAAGGAGTATTCAAAAAGTGATTTCAATGCATTAACCATACTAAAAATTAAGATGCTATCCTTATGAAAGCAATGAAATATCTGCAAAGACCTCATTGGCTACATGTGTTTAATATATACAATAGATTTATCTCCTGTAAAAAAAAACATTTGTGTCGTATTATAGGATGCTGTCTCTTTCTTGTTAAAAAACAAAGAAAAAAGAAGAAAAAAGAGAAGTAAAAGCATCAGCCAACCTCTCTGAGCACTGTCAGCTGGTTTGTATTGCAGTTCATTCATTGGTTAAGACCAAAGACAGACACTTCTATTATATCCAACACTATGACACTGCTGTTTCTACTAATTCTGTTGGAATGAAGAGATGAAAAGTTGTAATTACAACATGAAATGTAACATAGTTTAGATTTGTGCAGCATTTTGAGCTGTAGATTTTTACTTTTTTCCAGAGTTTAAATTTTTTGTCAGTGTCTTGCAATTACATTACTGTTCATGCATATGGGGGGTCTTCTGGTGTTCCTAAGAAAACATGCCAAGACATTGCTTCTTTGAAATGAAGTTATATTGGTTTGCTTGAAAAATTGGCTTGATTGGATAAAAGAATTCACTTTCAAGCATTTTAGATGCAGAGCGTTATTAAGTCTGGATGATAGAGCCATAAATGTCTAGAAGGATTTAATGAAGGATGTTTGAAATATTTGGTTGCTAACATAATGTATCTTTTAGGGGGTTTTGGTTTTATTTGTTTGTTTTGCTTTGTTTTTAGATTCCAAATAATTGCTAAATAAAAAACAAATTAAAAACCCACAAACTTTGGACTATGGAATTGTTATCAGCTGATTCACTGTAATGCACATGAAAGTTGGATCAAAATCTGAGTGCTGTATTGTTCCAAACACTACTCAGTAAAGGTCTGCTAACCATTTTTGGTTTGTAACCTTCATGTTAATGGTTTTCTTGTGTATAGAAGTATATATAAAAAGATGGGAACTATTTTCTTACAGATACTATGCAATATGTTTGTAGAACTGCAATATTACCAAAATTACAAAAGCTGTGCTTTTGTACTCTCTTGCTTTATGTAAAACAAATCTTTTTTCTATTTAATGGACTGTCTGTCTTAAAATTGTGGATAACATTATTCAAAAGCAGTACTCTGAAAATTTTAAGATTTTTATTTTATTTACCTTTGTTGTTTTTTTTTTTTTCTTTTTAATGAAAATAATAGCAAGGTTTTGGAAGTTGGAAATTGTTTTTTTCTTGGAAAGCTAGAACTTTTTCAGCATGTAATTAACACTGTCTCCTGTACTTCTTTCATTTGGTCCTAGCATTTCCATCTGGTGCTACCATATAACTATAAATAAATATGATACATTAAACAGGAAACATATCAGAACTAATTTCAAGAATAATCAAACAGGAATCCTGCTGAGGATGGGGAGAACATATAGAATGGCTGATGAGAAACTTAGATTTTCTGGGGTTTTTTGGTGGATTTTTTTTTTTTTTTTTTTTTTTTTTTTTTTGGAACTTAGATTTTCTGGGGTTTTTTGATGGATTTTTTTTTGTGTATGTGTGCATTTCCTTTTCTCTGTCTACATTAGCACCATGGTAATAGCTTAATTTGTTTTTCAATTGTTTTGTTCCTTTCCTCTGTCTACATTAGCACCATGGTAATAGCTTAATTTGTTTTTCAATTGTTTTGTCCTCATACACAGACTATAGTACAGTTTTATTTCAAACATTTTTTGAAAACAACAGACACTGCATTTAAATGCAGTACTTATGTTAAGAAAACCCAATTTTAAAGAAGTGTAGGCTTTATTTCTACAGCAGCATTAGTAAAGTTTAAATTACGGTGCTGCTATATCATCTACCATAAAAGCATATTACACTTCTCAGGTTCCTTTGTATCTTGTCAGAATAAGCTTAAACTGCATATTCATGTTTATACTGCACTTGTTTACAAGCCACTTGAGAATTACAGAGTCATGTAAAAGGTTTTGTGGTGGTGTCATCAATGCAGGCAAATTCTCTCTGTGCTTACCCTGGGCAGTGTCAGTGCTGGTAACAGCGCAGCCTTGCAAGGGCTCGGACAAAAAGCAAGGT